TTTTTCCCCTAATGACACCTAACTGGATCTTAAAATGTGGTTTTTCTAAGAAGGAACTTATGTTTTCAGAATGCTTTTTCAAAAGTAGGACCTCCTCTAGTTCCAGTATTCTTCCCATGTGATAATGATGCTTTCAATTTTTGTCATATGTACATTAACTTAAGTGGGTTTTTTGTTATTATTTTGCTTTTAAAGAATTTATACTGACCTAGTCACCTCCCCTCTCTACTTAGGTGGCATAAAATTTCAAGATACCAGGCTGAGTTCTGTGGCCACAGAATAGAAAGAAATGCACAGCCAACAAAGAGATCAGACTCATAACCATGCTAAGAAACACTAAAATAACTATCTACATCCAGCTCTGTTAGACTACAAGGGGTGTTTTATTAACCTGCTATATGTTTTTAAAGCATCAGTTTTGTTTCCACAGGACAAAAGCAATTAATCAAAGAATAGGTTAGTTGACACAGTTTTAAGAGTCAACAATATATAGATAGATCTTGAGACATATTACCCTGATAGTGGAAACTACTCTTTTAATTTTACTGAAATTTCAATCTTTCTTTCTTTCTCTGTTTTTGTTTGTTTGTTTGTTTTTAGACAGAGTCTCACTTTGTTGCTCTTGGTAGACTGCTGTGGTGTCACAGCAACCTCAAACTCTTGGGCTTAAGTGATCCTTAGTCCCCCAAGTAGCTCAGCCTATAGGCACCTGCCACAATACCCAGCTATTTTTAGAGATGGGGTCTTGTTCTTGCTCAGGCTGGTCTCAAAGTCCTGACCTCAAGCAATCCACCATCTTCTGCCTCCCAGGCTATAGGCATGAGCCACCACCCCTGACAGAGCTACCATGCCCGGCCAGTATTTCTATTAAAACTGTTTACTTCATTTTTAAAAAATGGAAACTTATAACCAATTGTATTATCTCCTCACATTGTGCCCATGTTATATATCCTAGAATACCACATTTTCATATTACTTCTCCCATTGCAAACTAGTGAAGGTAATGATTACAATTAAACACAACTTAGATTTGCAAGAACAAAATTATGTGTGTTCAGAAATCATTGTGTTTTTCAGCTATATAGACTTATTGCCTGCTATTCAAGAGGAAGCAATACACCGAGACAGGAGGGATGACAGCAGAGAAAGAGTTTAATATCCCATGCACCATGAGAGGAGATGGGACCAATGTCTCAAATCTATCTCCTCAATTATTTGGGTGCCAAGGTTTTAAAAGGTAGCTTAGTGGTTAAAGGGCTGGGGATTTGGGTCTGCCAATTGGCTGTGGATATATTCATAGAACTGGGAAGCAGAAAATGCCTTTTTACACTGGGTCACTTCCCAGGTCACAAGACCAGTTGGATTGGTTCCTAGATACAAGCCACTGGTCTGATAAGGCCAGCTTGTCCATCAGACTGCAGTCTGGAATATATCCCAAAGATCAGCCAGTCGGGGTGGACATTATGTGTATATATGGAAGGAATGAAGAAAGCTAAGAATCTTTATGACCATCAGCTATGTGACTCCTGAGTAGTAAGAAATTATAGGAAAGCAAGCTAGAGAATAATGGCTGATTATATATTATCATCATTATTATTTTAACTATACTATATCCAGGCCCCTACCACAGTTTCCACTTCATGGCCTGTTATTAATAAAGGGTGGTTTCAGATACCTGGGAGTTTTGAGTCAAATACAGAGGTGAGTTACTTCATTCCAACTCTGACATTCAAAGACCCACTGAGGAATACTAAACAAAACCAAGCATTATTTTATACATACTTTCTAATAATTGCCATTTATAAGTAACAACTCAAAATTCTCTTTCTGCTTGGACATCTTTTTAAAAACTTGTTCTAAATCTATTTGTACTGTGTCAATTATGTGGATAAAATAATAGCTGGGAGTCTCTCCCCATGAAAATGTTGTTTTTGCTAGAAACTCTGACCTGCTACCTCTGAGCTTCTTGAAAATGAAAATCTCTGTGTCTTCCAAATGACAGCCACCTTGTCGGTAGAACCAAAATAGCTTTCTCAGCTAGAAAGCTGTCTGTCAGTAAGAGCTCCGACAGATATCAGATTTGGCATGAAGGAAGAAGTCAAGAAACGGTCTCACAGAAGGAGGTTTGGTGGGAGCACTTGACTAGCTAAGAGCAGAGCAGGAGGAGTGCTTAGAAAACAGGGCCCTCCTAGACAACAGACCAAGTGCAAGGAGACCAACAGGAATTTCTGGAAATGACAGCCTTGGGGGAAAGGGAGGCAGAGGGATGGTTGAAAAGTCCCTATTTCCACTACTAGCTCTTGTGGGATTTTGAAAGGGCAATGATTCAATACAAGATACACCAGACTGGAAAAGTTTCCATTTGTGTAAGGAAGCAAATATATTCACATGCATAGGATGTTTATCTCCCTCTAGTGGTGGGGTGAGGGCCTTCGATGTGATAGCCTGTTGAGCTGCATACAGGCAGTCCCTGAGTTGCAAACATCCTCCTTACATACAACTTGCACCTATGAATGGTGACTATTACAGTAAGTCCCTGAGTGACAAACATTGCACTGATGTACAACTCACACTTACGAATGAAGGCTATTACAGGTAATAGATAGTTGTACCTTTTCTAACTTACATATAAATACAACTTAACAAACCTACAGAACCTATCTCATTCCTAACCCAGGGACTGTCTATATTATACTTTCCAAACAAAGATGAGTTTCCATTATAGTGCATTTTGCCCATAAAATTAGGATTTCCATTAGGTGCGCTGCTCTCCCTTAGGGTGGTTATCAAAACATTCCCAACTCCATGTAAGAGAGTGAAGCGACTCCTTGGCTAGAGACATAGGATTCACTTTTCCTCTTTACTCTTAACAAAGGAGGAAGCACGATGTGCTCAGAGGCAACGCTCCTGACCTCTAATCTGGGCCAGAAAACCTGAGGAACTAAATGAGAAAGAGAAAGGAAGCTTATCAAGAGTGAAGGTAGAAAATATGGAAACTCAGAGGAGAAACATCAGTAAAAGATCTGAAGAGTGATCTGAACCTGATATAAAAGGCAATAATTAGAGATAAATTTTGAAACAAGTCACCTCCTCTATCTTCCCTTGCTGTCATTTCTGTCATTTCCATTCTCGGTCATATGAAAATATACTTCTGATGTAGCAATTTGGATCAGGGATAGGGATGAAAAAGTGGAGAAGATAGACATAGTAAATGATGTTCTTATTTATTTGAGACAGAGTCTCAAGCTGTCACCCTGGGTAGAGTGTCCTGGCAACATAGCTCACAGCAACCTCAAACTCTTGGGCTCAAGCAGTTTTCTTGCTTAGTTTTTCTACTTTTAGTAGAGACAGGGTCTTGCTTTTGCTCAGACTGGTCTTGAACTCATGAGCTCAAGCAATCCACTCACCTCGGCCTCCCAGAGTGCTAGGATTATAGGCGTGAGCCACTGCATCCAGTCATGATGACCAGGATTAAATTGCATTATATCATAACTGTACAAGAGTATTAATGGAAATAGATCAAAGATTACAGCCATCTAATAAATAGGTTATTGATCAATAGATGAAAACATATCAGTGTGAACTATACAGAGTATGCAGGTTTTCCCCACTTTATACTCAGAGTTAGGCATCAGTGATGCCCACTTGACTTCTCCTATTGCATGTCTCCAAGGCAATCAAACTCATATGCCTTCCCTGAAAACCTGTTCCTTTCCCTGTTCTGGAAAAGAAAACGTTTCCAGTTTTCTCATTTCAGTGAATAACTTCACCAGACATCTAGCTGTGCAAGCTAGAAATCTAGGAGTTACTAGACACCAGTGCCCAGTCTTCCACCATCATATCTAATCAATCCCTGAGTCCCTCAATCTTCCTCCTAAATCTAACTGAAATAGATCAATTTCTCTTTCCTCCACCACCCTAATTCATCATCTCTCTCTGAATAGATTACCACTCCACAGGGCATCCACTCCATCCTTTGTCAAATGCATTCTCCACACTGGACTACTTCATTCAACAAATATTTTTGAGAGACCTACTTTGTATTCTGGAAATACCGTGGTGACTAAGTCATACAAGGAGCTTGTGGAGACAGAAGATAAGCATCAGATAGTCATAAGCACTATGTGAAGAATTAAGGTAGACTGATAAAATAGAGAATGGCTGAATGCCTATTCTAGACTGCGTGTTCAAATACAAGCAATCAGCCGGAGTTTTAACAAAGGGTATGAGTTCTGACTTTGTAAAATAAAACAAGTCCGCTGGGATGATGGTATCTGCGATCCAGGCTTCCTGGCATGTAATGAGATTGTTTCAGATACTGGCCAAGAATACAAAGGACAGTAAGTAAAAATGCATATGAACAGTCAATCTACATCTGTTTGTCTCCAAGTATCTCTGTTAAAATACAATATCTACTACCCACATGCAAGTATCTTGTTTTGTTGACTTCTTTTCTGTATGTCTCCTTTCTAGCTCCACGGGGCTAACTGCCATGGTCTCTGCAGAATCTCCGATATCTAAGAACTTTGCCTGGCATACAGTAAGCACGCAACTAAGTATGTGCTGCATTTTGCACAAATTGCTGTGAACAATGCAAGAGCCAACAGAGAAAATAACTGAGTGGGTTTGGGGGTTCAGGTAGTCTTCATGGAGATGTCAAAAATCATTTACTTCAACTCTCAAGGTTAAACGGCCTATAAAATTCCAGCTAGGCTTCTGGGCTTCGGATCTCTGACACCCAGCGTTCACACTCAAAGTGATACACTTGCTCGCAGCCACTAAAGCTTCACTACTCCCCGCTAGGAGGAGTCACGCCTCCCGACCCCGAAACCCTCCCACTCTCCCCTCTACTTCTCCTTCCTTCCCCTCCCCGCGAGGGTTCCGGAGGTCTTTGGATCGCATTGCCCGCCGGGAATTGTAGTCTTCCGGTCGGAGAGTAGAAGTTTTATATACGTGTGTTTCAAGAACTACGTTTCCCAGAGACCTTCGGGGCAGGGGGTGGCTGAGTCACCTGACTAGGATTCTGGAGGTGTAATGGCGGCGCCCGTGCTATGTTCGGGTTGTCCTCAAAGATGTTGGGCATTAGTCTGGGTTTACGGCCGTTGTCGCCATCGAAGAGGGGCTCCGGTTGGGTCCACATGCAACTGGATGAGGGGACAGAGTTCAGTGGCTCAGCAGCCCCTCCACACGGCCCGGAAGCCGAGGAAAGGGTATATTATTTCACACCATTTCTGCCTACCCAGTTGTGAGGTGGAACTGTGGAATCGGGGATATGGCCATTACAACTCAGCCTTAGACGTTGAGGGGGCAGAAGGGTGTTGGGTTATAACCTCAAGCCCTGAAACCTAAAAGAAAACACAAAACAGGTTCTCTGTTAGCCCCACCAGCATATACGTAGTATAACATAAATTACTGTCTTCGAATAGACATATGGGGGAACTCGCAAGCGTGAAATAGCAAGCGTTTTCTAGAATTATGGGCTGTGTAGATAGAAAAGTGCACGGGCAATAGGGGCGGTGACATTAGGAGCAGGACTATATTTAGCTGACATTTATTTGTTCTACTATGGGCTGGCAGTATTCTACAAGTAGAAAGCAAGCCTTTACCTACAAGCTCTGGGTATTGGTGGCTTAATGTCATTACTCAGAAAACATCAGTTATCTGTGGAGGCGTTTTATGTTGAACATGTGTATCTAGTCCTAGAAGGAAGCAGCCAATAAAAGAAATAGTCATATAGCTTTGCTTATTTTGCTAGATACCCCCCTGAACAGCTGTTTATGCTTCGCTACGTAAGATGTAAATACTTTCTTTTTAAATACGGAAACATAAGGCACGTTTCTAATGTTTTGCCTATTCTTTGAGATTGGTTGGCATAATTTTTGCTTTTCTGTTGAAGAAACAGAAGGAAAATGTCCAGAAGTATTCAGTTTCTATTCCTTTCATAAGTTAGATCATTTCCCTGTGAATGGATAGTGTATTTTTCTCTCATGTAATGAAACTGCAAAAGCACTGAAAATACTTCAGTGAATGCCAAACTTCTGATGACTAGTTAGGTTAATTCCTCTCTCATATGGGCTGTGTTTCCAAACTTTCCAAGGAAGGACTTAATCTTCTTGCAGTACCTTAGATAGAGAACTATGTGTGTTGAAATGATTGAAACAAAACGAAACAAAGTGAAGGAAACAGGAATCTATGTAATGGCGGAAAACTGGGAGAAAAGCAGGATAGGAATGTGCATGGGTTTTACAGGGAGTAATCACATTTATAAGAACCTGGAGAGACCTGTGTATAGACCCAACAGAGTAGGAATGGCTGGATAAGAGTGAATACTATTGCATTTAACAGCGGCTTATAACAATCTAGCATAAACAAACAATTAGATCACAGAAACTAGAAGTAATTTGGGGGACAAAAAAATGGCACATGTGATGATTTGGTGTTTTCTTTTGCACAGAGTTTTTTTTTGGAGACAGAGCCTCAAGCTGTCCCCCTGGGTAGAGTGCTGTGGCATCACAGCTCACAGCAACCTCCAACTCCTGGGCTCAAGTGAGTCTCCTGTCTCAGCCTCCCAAGTAGCTGGGACCACAGGCGCCCTCCACAAAGCCTGGCTGTTTTTTGGTTGCAGCCATCATTGTTGTTTGGCAGGCCTGGGCTGGATTCGAACCCACCACCTTAGGTGTATGTGGCTGGTGCTGAGCCTGCACAGTTTTCAAGAGTGTCATCTAGTAGTAATTTGGTACATCTGTTCTGCTCTGGTCATACTTGTAAACAATTGTTACGAGATGGATTCAAAACATGGTTGAGAATATCCTATTTCAATAGTGAGAAGTGAAACTATTTATTTACTGTTGTTTTTCTAGAATCCTTCCATTTATGTTAATTCTAAATAATGTTTTGAAGACCAGATTTCTTCATTTACTGAGTGGTTGATGAGGCAAGAGTGACACCCCATCTCTACTAAAAATAGAAAAACCAGCGGGGCGTTGTGGCAGGTGCCTGGAAGTAGTCCCAGCTATTTGGGAAGCTGAGGCAAGAGGAGTTTGAGGTTGTTGTGAGCTATGATGCCATTTACTTTAAAAAACGCTGCTTTTCCCTTAAGTTGGCCAAGCAGTTATCATCTGCTATCCATTTCTAAATTGTATTAAGATGCCAGATTCTTCCTCTCTATCACCTTCCTCTTTGTACAGTGAACCTCCTTATGCCATGTTGCAAATGAATTTTAGTTTGCCAATCTGATGTTAGGTGTTCATTATGAATTCTTTTTTATTTAGTCACTAATAAAAATATGATACTTTTTTACATCTAAGGATGTAACATTTTAATTAAAAACAAATTTTAAAACAAAATTTTAGTTAAAAACACAAATAGCATGTTAATGTTTGTCGTTTAAGTGCATATAAATTCATGCATGGCAACTGATGTAACTACTTCTTAACCATTATCTTTTTCTCTTTAGCGAACCTGAATGGGCTGCTGTCGTAGGTTTGGAAATTCATGCTCAGATTTCCTCCAACTCTAAACTCTTCTCTGGATCTCAAGTCTGCTTTGCAGCACCTCCAAATTCTTTGGTTTCTTTTTTTGATGCTTCCCTGCCTGGAACTTTGCCGGTAAGGTTTTTATTTAATCCTGTTTCCATTAGAAAATGTTTATGTTGTATTGAACATAGGAAATGATTTCTTTGTTTTAATATCTTGATATAACTTGATGAAACTCTTAGGAGTTTAGGGAGTTGGAATGAAGTGGGATGAACTAAATATTTTCTAATTTTGTTTCTAACTCAGAACATATTCATATGTGTATGAACATTCACAAACACTTCAGAGTGCCTGCTGAATACCAGACACCATGTTATGAACTGGTTCATAAAATTGAGCAAAGAACCTTACCTTTGAGGATTTCAAATACTTAGTAGGGGATATTTGTCTTATAAACAAATTAAGTTCAATTTGTACCTTTCCTGCGAGTGAAAACTATGTTGAACTGAGAATTGACAGGCTGGCATGTGCAGATATACACCTGAGTGCAGTGTGAAGGTAATTTACAGAGAATGGTTTTGGAACCCAGAAGAGGGACACTTAATTCAGTAAAAAGGAGGATGATTGTTTAAAATTAGGGTAGGGGTACATTTGGTTAAGTAAGGGTTGCTGGAAGAAGTGGTATCTGAGCTATTTGAGAAGCCAAGTAGGAGTTAGGCAGATAAATGAAGGAAGAGGAGGAGTCCAGACAGAGGAAATGCATATATCACATTATATTAGCATAGAAGACCAATAATGATTGTGGTTGTTGCAAACTAAGAAACAGTCAGTAATGGAGAAAAGAGCCAACCAGTGTATTCATTTAACAACTCATTTTTACTTGAGCCAAGGAATAACTGGGCCCAGTATACCTATCAGCAAGATTTTTAACACATATTTTTATATACTTGGCTGAATTTTGAAGGAAAGGTTGAAAAGAACAGTGTTAGTATTTGAGTTAATACATAGCTTATGGTCTGTCCAGGACTTATGGTACCAACGGGTTATAGGATTTCTTGCCCTCTTTAGAGGGAATGTAAATGCATGGTGATGATTGGGGTAGGGGTGGGAGAGTGCTATGGGTGAATTCCATACTCTCAAACATTTACCTGCAAGTGAAAGCGGAGTTGAACTGAGTATTGGCAGACATACACTTTTTTCAGTTACTACTCAGAATAGAAGATTCTGGGCAGTACCTTCAAAGTGCCTGCCTTTGGTTGTATTCAGGCATCATCTCTGTCTTGGAATTTTTTCTTTACTTGCATTTTTTTTTATCACAGATGACTCTCATCCCTGCAAACCATATCCTAAGTCACCTTTGATTTGCCATTGGGTCTCTCTGGGGAAAGATAAGTATAGCACTCTCTCTCTCTGACTTATAGTATCTTAACATGGAGAGATTTATTGTTTGTTTGAGAGGAGACAATTTTTCATTTATAAACATATGAATTCTTTTTTGGGCAGAGACTCAGGTATAGTATAAATAAAATAATATCTATTCAGACAGATAAAATGGAAGGCAATTTATCACAACACCATTTCCTTTTTTCTTCTGAGTTCAAAACATTTTTTTCTCTCCCATGGTGGTTAATTATCAAGAGACTAAGCATAATCTTGGAGTTCTTTCTCAGTTTTTCCAGCTAGGAATGTGATATCTAGTAGGGTACTTATTATAGTTCACATTTAGAAACAGATCTGTTTGCAGATAGGCACGTTTTCTGTAAATAGATTCTTCAGTTGTGCCTAAATGTGGTCGATTTTTAGAGACAATTCAAAATAGCTAAAATGCCACATGCTTCACAAGACTTCCTGTCATGCACCAAAGAAGAAGCTGCTTATCCAGTGATAAGCATACCAATAAAACAGTGAAGGGATTTAGGACGTTTGAGCCTTGAGAGCTTGGATTACATTAGTTAAATGGCACACCGAAGCTAGAAAGACAGTTGTACATGCTAGAATTTCTTTTCCTCTTGAGAGCCTACAGCATTCATGGTTTGAGTAGCCTAAACGGGTTATTCTCTCAACAGAGCTGATCTACCTCTTTTTCAGAAATGTTTCTGTCTGTCTTTAAAGGACCTATTTTAGTATATGAACAAAATTATGCCAAAACTCCCAGAATAAAACATAGACATGCAAAACATTTCAAAACCCTGTGATTTACCTCTAAATAGACTCAAAGTGTACTAGACTATTTGGAAAGTTGTCCTTTCCCGAGTCCTGTGGAGATGGTATAGTGAGACACCAATAGCCTGACTCTGCATCTGGTAGCTACTTACAACAAACCAAGAATCTGAGAGGGTGTTTCTACTTCTGAGGATTTGAGTAGAATGTTAAGTTTTTGTTTTGATCAGTTAAGCCAAGAAGTATACGTGATTCCTGATGATGTTCGAAACTGTGCCCAAGGCTCACCCTGGACCCTTCTCTTGTGCTGCTCCTCCCCCCTCTGATTGACTGCTCCTACTCACATGAGGTTTTCCTTCACTCAGCCCTGAAATGTTAGTTTCCCACACTCCATGCCTTGGCTCTCACTTCCTTTTGTTGTGACTAATCTTTTTATCCTCAAAGATCCTATCTCTTCTAGGTAACTAATCTCTGTTACTACTGCTTTACTATATATTTCTATCTGGGTGATTCATCAACATCTTAAATTCAGCGGTTACAATATTGAACCTATTATCTTTTCTCCCCAAAGTTTCACTGCTTCCTGACAAAAGAATAAGCCAACAAGAGGAAGAAATAATCTGTCAAGAAATGGATGTTAGGGTGAGAAAAATATGTATGCGTTGGTGTGTTTGAGATACACACATATATATCAAAGAAGGAGCTAATGTCAGTGGGAAAAAGATGGTTTATTCAATTGATGATTTTGGAAAAATTGGGTTAGCTATTTGGAGAAAACATTCATACTGATTTTATATATCAAAATAAAATTCAAATACATACATGTATGTAAGTTCAATGTAAAATTCAACCTAAAAATATAGAAGAATATTTATTTGTTCTTGAGATGCAAAGAAACTTTGTAAGCATAAAAACAAAGAGAAAAAATTCATCAGGCAAAATAATGGAAATTGAATAGTTATTTATCCAACAAATACTTGGTAGTAGAAATACAGGTTGCTTGAGGGACACATAGGAGAGAGTTCAACACAGACAAAAGGAATTTGCAGTATTGGCCAAATGTAAGACCAGGGAAAACAAGCGTGGTGTTCCATGTGTTGTAGCATAGAATTTGAATATGGACGTTCCAAGAGCTGAAGCTAGAGCAGAAAGCATAGTCTGTACTGTACAAAGTGTAAGTCCTGCTAAGGAGTGCAGATCCCGTCTGCAGAGAGGTGAGAAGACAGGAGAATGCAGGGGCAGAGACTCTGAAGAAGGGAGTGTTTTGAGAAGGAGGGAGAAAGTCAAATGCTGCAAAAAGGTCAAGTAGGCGAGAACTAGGAAGTGTCCAGTGGACTTATGGTTAGAGTGGTGCAGTGGTGGCTCAAGGTAGTCACTGAAATAATTGAAGACAGGAAGTAAGAGTTTAACAAGAGAGAGATTTTATTGTTGATGACTTGTAAAGCCAGGCAGGCCTTGTCCTAGAGACTGTAGGCTCTAGGGTGCAGTGCTTAGATTTTATACACAACTTTTAAGGTGTGTCATTTGCTTCTTAGACATTTCCCAAGATCCTTATCAGGCTGATTAGGTTGTTCCCCAAACAACCCAAGTTAGCATGACATAAGACTACATTTATCTGTCCATGTCCGAAAGTTGCTGACACTGATTAGCCTCTATCTCAAGGCAACCCATTTCCAAGGTCTCAGTTAGCCCCATTCCCATGACAACTCAGGCCAGCCTGACTCACACCAGTCTGAAATGGCCAGAATAGACTAACCTCACCCGCCACCCACCCTGGTCATGTGTAACTACCACCTGACCTAACGTAATAACAAGGATACCCTTTGCCAGAACAGTTTCATTGGGGCGATGGGAGAAGAAGGGAGGTGGCAATAGATTGAGAAATGGGAGGGACACAGAGGAGGAAGTGAGAGAGTATGGGCAGCTGTGTCAAGGAATTTGACCATGAAAGATAGGAAACTCCAGCAGGTAAAAGGAGGCCTGAAATTATGGAGGAAATGTATTATTCATATTTTTCTTAGTATTGGAAAGACTTGAGAACGTTTAAATGCCGATGAGTTTTAATCTCCAATAACATATATTTAAAATTTTATTAAAGAAGGCAGCGCCTATGGCTCAAAGGAGTAGGGCACTGGCCCCATATGCTGGAGGTGGTGGGTTCAAACGCAGCCCCGGCCAAAAGTGCTTTGGAAAAAAAAAAGTAAATAAAACTTAAAAATTAATTGGTTAAAAATTAAAAAAAAAATTTTATTGAAGAGGATGGATCTCGTGTTAAGTGCTCTTGTTGTAATAAAATAAATTAAAAGAAAAATGCTGACAAGAAGGAGTTAATGAAGAAGGGAGAGGCTTTTGATTAATATGCCGGACTGAACACATGCATTTTAATCCATCTCTCTCCCCTCCCCAAAGAAACCTCACTGAAATGATGGTGAAAGAATTTAAAAGTTATAAGTACACAAAAGAATCAGAGAGGAGACCAGAGCTGTGAAAGATAGAAAGATAGTAGGTGGAGGAGGGGCTGACTGAGGCCCAGGAAGAGAGACGCTGGGAAGACTGAGGGAATGGGCCCCACACAACCTGAGAAACGGGCAGGGTGTGGGAGCATCGGGCCCTGGGGAGGCCAGGGTGAGGTGGAAACACAGGCTTGAGTTGGCCCGAACACAGAGCACTTAGACCTGAGGTCCTCTCCCCCACCCTGTGCAGCTGCCCCAGCCCCACAGGCATGTATAGTCTTCAGGGAAATTCAGCAAGTGAATGATTACCCATGGGGACACCTGACAGAGCAGAAGGGCTTGATGGGGTGTCAGACAGTTCACTGACCTCCAGGACCTGCCCAGTCCTTTTCTCTACCTGGCTTCAGAAACTCAGGTGACCTGGTACATCCAGCTCTCCTCTTCTCTTTTTCTTCTGAGCAAAAATCTGCAGGAACTTCCTTGGAGATTATATGTCCATAGGGGATCGCTTGATAAAAA